TACGCATTGCTGTCAATAACTGTTGTATCTGAGAAGCTACCTGTCAAGTGAGATTTTTCTGAAGAAAATTCTTGATGAATAACTAATCCGTATTGCTTTGTCCAGTTGATGATAGGTGAGAGACTGTAGTTAGAAAACTGTGTGAGGCTGTGGTCTGCAATTGGTGAGACAGATTGAGATAAATGAAGTGACAGGAGTTGATCTATTGAACAGTGGTTGCAGAATAACAAGATTAGAAGGTAACGAATTGTGAGGGAAGAAATGTATTCAATCTAGAAAAAAAGCACAAAAGAGGTTTTCATATGTCTTTGTTATGTACTGGTGGTCAGGTGTTTTTTCTGCTACAATAGCAATGATTAAGAAATACTTTTTTCAACTTCCCTTGTACGTCCCCAGAATGCCTTACGCTGTAGAGATATGTTTAATTTCTGTTGTAGCTGGGGTGAGTGGATTACGTGACTTCAGGAGAGCACCTTTGGAGGACAGCATATTCTAGTACCCAATTTGAGGCTGTATTCCGAAAAACTTTTAATTTGGAAAACATCCTGTCATATCTGTTTAAGTTTCCAAAGAGCTTTAGAGTTCTCATGAGTGAATTGCTGCATATGGGATACAGAAATAACATTGTTGACGTAATATTTTTCATTTTAAACTGTGAATCAAAATCAATCTGTAATCATAGTTACATTTTTATTAAATAACCTAAAACTGAATGCAGGTTATTCTTTTTAATTTTTTAGCTTTTTTGTCTGAAGTAAGTAAATTTTTTTAATGTATTGCTTGCTTTTCATTAAAAGGTTACTGTCAATACACACTGTAAAACTCAAAAATCATGTACTAAATACTGAAGCACAAGTATATTCATGTGGTCTGGTTTAAGTCAAGTTTGTATCAAATATTGTAAAGTGAATGCGAAAACTTGTTTTGCATCTCTGATCCATGGTTTATATGATATTGTTCCTGGTAATTGTTTCATTTAAACATAAGAGAAAACTTTCTTACTGTAAGGGTGATCAAACACTGGAAGAGGCTGCTCAGAGAGGTTGTAGAGTCTCCCTCCTTGGATATACTCAAAATCCAACTGGGTACAGTCCTAAGCAATCTGCTGTAGCTGAGCCCGCTTTGAGCCGCAGGAGTGGATGATCTCCAGAGGACCTTTCCAAGCTCAACTATTCTGTGATTCTACGTAGGGTTTATTTGTGTTTATTAATTAAAAAAAAGTCTTACACCAGCAATACAAACATGAAAATTCCTGCCAAGTCACAGTAGGACTACTAGAATACCTCAAATTAAGAATGTGTTAATAAAATCAGGACCAAAGTGTATATTCTGAATCCCAGTTCTTCTTCTTTCTTGCTTTGTATTTGTGATTTTTTTTTTTTTAGTGGATAGACTTGTGTTAATGCCCTAATTCGGATGAAGTGATACAAAAGGTCCTCCTTTGAGTTTGTTTACCCCCTCTCCTGTCAGCATACACGATGTGTGTTGTGACTTCTAGCCTTCAAAAGTTGTCTTAAAGTCTTGCCTTTTACCACCCTCTGGTATGGAACGGTAGGTACTTTAGTAACTCTCTTGAAGCAGATGAAATATTTTTATCTTTACTAGGTAGGTGGCATGCATGGTGCTTCATTTATTGTTTTACTATTGAAGTCATCCCTGCTTAAATATTGTTGTACTTTCACATGATTAACATTTACAGATAATGGGCTTGATTTGCTTTGTAGAAGAACTTGGGGGCAGGGGGACTGTGTTGTTCTGGAAGACTCTCCCAGAGAGGTTTTCTGAGTTCTGGGAAATGCATTTCACCACATCTGATAAAGATGTGATTGGTTCCACTTCACCTGAAATTTTTAAAGGTTCTCAAGTCTTAAGTTTTTTTGGTTCACCAGCCTTTGAAAGTTCAAGGACCTCTTATTTGAAACCTGTAAGAGTTCTAGAAAGGTATGTGTTTGAAACAGTGCCCTTTGTCAACATACTGCTTCCTATGCACGTCTGATCTGCGCCAACTCCTGATATTGTTGATGCTGCTGTTACTTCTTTGCAGTATGATGACTGAGTGTGCAGTTTCGTAATTTACAGCTACTGCACTGAGGTTTCTTTTCCTTTTGTATCAACAGCTTCCAGCAATTCTGGAGCTTCACAGAGTTGTTGGCCTTAATCTGGTTAATTGCAGTAGTGTGACCTCAGGATATTCATATCTGAGGAGATGAAAACAGTCATGGAGTGTTTTGTGTTGAAGATGGCTCTGCATTCCTTGAAGAGTTTAAGGAAATTCCTTATCCTCTCTCTTCCTAAGAAGATGAAAGCCCTAAACATAAATCTCAGAGAACCAATCCCTTGATGATTTATTATTATTATTATTATTCCCTGCCCCCATTAATATAGTTTATTACCTCTTGGGTGTTTAACTCCTCCTTCAAGGAGATTATAGGTAGACTGTTTTGACTATGTTCAAGCATGCTGTCAGTCAGCAGAGGAGTCTCCACTAGATGTTTGCATTTAATGATTTTACTCAATCTTCAGTCATGTTTCTGATTGGTTTATATTCTGTGTTTGAAATAGAGGACTCCTTTAGCTAGTTGTGGGTGGGTTTGACAGCTATTTGTTCAGCAGCATAAAGGCATTCTTTTTTGTTGGTTGGGGTTTTTTTTTTTGTATCCTTAGCTTTCTCCTTTTCTTCATACTTACATCTGGCATATTTTCTACATTAATATCTATTTACTTTAAATCCATGCTTGTCTTTCCTTTCTAATACTTATCTGCCATGGTAGCTTAATTATTAATTCAGTTTTTAACTGAAGTTTTTTTTCAATCTGGCAGTACTGACTAGCTCCAAGCAAGATAGTTTCTAGTCCAGCACTGGCTTTGAAATTGCCCAAAACCATTACTGCCTAATGATTCTATAGGCTCCAAATGCCTGTGTCATTGCTTCCTTTCATAAGAAGCTTTTCCAGAGTCTGCTCAGTTATTAATCTGTCAATGACAGGCCACTGGATCCACAAGCTTTTTCTGGTAGGTATAGTCAAGTACATGGATGTTCATCAATCTTCCAGGATACAGTGATTTAAGAAAAGGAATTGCTCGTGCTGTCGCACGAGTTTTGATTGCTAGCTGTCTCTTGAATCTCCACTGCTTTAGTTCTGCCAGTTATTTGACCTTAGTGTAATTATTTTTGGGATTAGGTTGGGTACAGGCAATTTATTTTAGGTGTTGATACCTCCAAGTTTTTATTGTTTGAATTGTCACCTGTCAATTTAGACTCGTTTCTTTCCTCATGACACTATTTGTAGTCCAACCAACCTATTGAAACTACTGTATTGCATTCAACTGTATTGAACTATTTTCTCTTAGTTAACGAACTTTAGAAAATGCTCTGACTTCTGTCCAGACATCATGCTGCAGAAATACTATAATGGGAAAATACAAATAACACAGGTGTTGTAGGACAATGTGGGAAGTGTAATGCAGATATAGCCAAGTGATTTAATGCAGCTAGTTTCTGTCCAGCAGGATTTGAGCTGCATGCACAACCCTAGACCTGTTGATCCTCTTGGGACTTCTTTGGGACTAAGTGTTTGTCAACTTCCCACACCTTCCTGTGACAGGTTTTACAACAGCTTATTTTCATGAGGTCCTAGAGTCCTGGTGCATGCTAAGGAGATACCCAAGCAGCTTTTGTTGAGCTGTATCTAGCTCAGCTGTAGTTAATAAACCCATCCGTTTGTATGGAGTTACCAAAGCCTATTTCCTGTTTCAGCAGTGCCGAAGCATACCGACTAACTCCTTGTGGATCATGTGCTTTGGTTGCTGCTATGTGAAACTGTAGTTGACTTTTTCAGCTGGAACTTGCCTGTGAGCAGGGCTCCTCTGCCCTTCAGAACTGTGTCCTCTGAAAGCTGGGAAATCTTTCAGGACAGCTTTCTCTAAGCCCACTAACAGTCCATCCCAGTAGTTAGGAAAATGAGCAGATGTGTCAAGAGACCAGATTTGCCAAACAGGGAACTTATGACTGAGCTCTGGTGGGAAGGGTGAGGAGAGAAATTAGCACCCATGGATGCAGATGAGGCTGAGATTCTCAGTGCCTTCTTTGCGTTGATCTTTACAGACAGGGTCTCAGGGGCCTTTGTGCCTGGAGATGGGATTGAAGGAGCAGAGAAACTAGTAGTAGTTTCTGAAGAAGTCTGATGGATCTCTTGAGAAATATCAAGTTCATGGGATTAGATGGGATGCTTCTGAGGGTACTGAGGGAGCTAGATAATGTCATTGCAAGTCAGCTTTCTCTTTGAATAGTTGGAGATCAGGGGTGGGCCTCAATGACTGGAGAATGATGTGTTCCAGCCGCCGGCAGGAAGGTTGATTTGGGGAACTGCAGACTGGTCAGCAGCACTTTGGTTCCCTGAGAAATCATGCAGGAAGTCCACTCGGAAGCCATTTCTAGGCATATGAAGGTGAAAACAGTAGTTAGGGTTAGCTAGCATGGATTCACCAAGGATACTTGTCAACCAGATTGCCTGCTGTGATGGAAAGACTTGAACTGTGGTTGAGGAGAGAAGAGCAGTGATGTCGTCTACTTTGCCTTCAATGAGGCTTTCACCATGGTGTCCAAGAGCATCTTTGTCTCTCATTTGGAACATTACAGGCTAGATGAGACTGCTAGGTAGATTAAAAAGTCAGTCTGGATCATTGAGCTTGGAGAGTCTGATTTGGGACATGTCATGCTTAGTATCTTACTAGTGACTGCACCCTCAGCAAGTTTGTAGGTCTTCAATGTGGAGGGATATGCAGTCAGCATGTTTGAATGCACAGCTGCTGTCTGGAGGGACTAAAGTTTCTCAAAATTCGTAACAAAATACAAACCCACCTTTCCGTTATATAGAACATCGGGGAAGAAAAGGGAATAAAATAACACCAATTCTTTGTTGCATTTCTTAAATGAAATTAAGAAAATTAAATGAAATTAAGAAAATTTTATATTTCTTTGTACAAGTAATTGTGTTTTGTTTCAGATTATGGAGCTCTGTGGTGCAACAAGACTTGGCTATTTTGGACGAAGTCAATTTTACATTGCTTTGAAACTTGTTGCTGTGGCCCAGTCTGGTCTCCCTCTAAGAGTGGAAAGCTTAAATACAGGTAAATCACAGGATCGGGGGGAATTGAGTTGCTAAGCAGAATTATTGTACTTGGCTCACAGATTCTTGTAGACTAACCTTGTAAATTTGTGTGGTATGTCTTTTTATACATGTTGCTAACTTAAAAAAAATTGTGGAGAGACTATGAGGGAGTGTATTCTTACTGTGCAATAAATATGAGGTGAAATACTGTACTCTTATTGAAAATAAGTATTGTGTTCATCATGGGGTAAATGAACAGCTACTACTGACTACTGTGTAGGTACAAGTTCATTCTATAGATTACTAATGTGAGAACCTGTGTGCTCTATCTTCTGAATAAAGTGCTAATAAGACTAATGTGAAATGGAAGGAAAAGAAGAATGCAACATTTGCAGGCTTTTGTAGTTGCTGAGTTTATGAAGCCTTGATTGCAACAAATGAAAGGTCATCTTTTCTAAAGTCACATTCCTTCACAGTTGGCTTGACAGTTTTCTCCCTTCTTAGTGCAAATATGAAGATTAGTGGTTTAAGATTTTTCTAGTGAAAAACCTGACCTGTAAAAGATGTTTGAAGTCTTATCATCCAGAACATCTGTTATCCTACTTTTCAAAGGTCAGCTGTGGTGTGGGTAGTGAAATAGGAACAGGAGAAAGGCTCACTCTAGGAAGATGGTTCAGAACAGCAGAAAGAGCTTTGATATGAGGCTCTACTGTAGCCTTCTCAGTGACGTAGTGGATCCATATCGATGTTGCTCTGAGAGATGAAAAGATACTTAGGAAGATGAAGCAGTGAGTGTTAAGCCACCGTAGCCCTTTGCAGCATAGCACACAACTCACTACTTAAAAATATCTTTGGAGCACAGCTTTGCATTAAGGTGACTTCCCTAGTAGATCTTCTGTCTGTAGAATACATGTTATGATATAACTTGTATATGCTAGTAATTAAAAGAAAGCTTAGGAGGTTTTTTGTGTCTAATGGGTATAGATTAAACAGTGGTTAAGGTGACTGTTAAAAACAATCTGATAGGACTGAAGTATTTGACAAAGCTATAAAAAAGAAAGGAATCCTTGTGTGTACTGCTACAGTTATGTTTATTTTAATCTCGTACAAACAGTATATACTGCTTTCATGATTTTTTTTGTAGCTTTTTGGAAAAGTGCACGGTTTCAGTTAATGTTTTGCTAGTATTCAAGTTCCTTTCTGCTCATAAGCCACCCTGTGTTTATAAACAGTTTTCCTGATGAATGTTCCCAAATCTAAAGCTTCAGCAAGTTGTAGCAAAATGCCCTAGAATCAGAAAGCCGGAAAAGGGACCTTCACCTCCTAATATCTGATAGAACTGGGATTTGATATAACAATTGTGGAATTCAAATACCCGTTGAAGAAGGCAAAGACTAAAATCTGTGTATGTAGCTTTTACCAGGGTTTTTATATGCTTGGTTTTATTTTAATGCAAGATACCTTAATTGGAAGGAGCTTTCCTGTTTTAAAAAATTATATCAGAAGAAATTTGAAGGAAGGAATTGAAATGAAGGTACAGAATTAATTCCCAATATAAAATATGTGGCTGTGAAATTAGCAGCCATTGGAACTTTTATAATGGAATACATTTCCTTGATTCGTGACAGTACTAAAAATACTTGTAATGGTTTCTAGACTTCTAGGAATAAGTTTCTGTAACTGGTTCCAAACCTACTAAATACAACAAGTGCAATTGACAGAACATTTATTTTTACCCTAACTGTTTTTAGCTTTGGTTGTCTGTTGCCTTGGTTGCAGTGGTTCCAGTCCTGTCTATGAAGTTCCTGCTCCTAGGATGATTCAAGTGTTGTTGTAACAGCTACTAAACAGCTAAAATACAGCAGCGTGAAGATTCATAAAATGATTCTGAGCTTGGGTTACCTTCCTTTGAAAACTGGGGTTCAG